ATTATAAATTTTATTCAGAAAATAAACTTCAAAAATCTTATTAAATTTTAAAAATTAAAGCTTTTTAATGAAACATTTAAATTTATTTTGTTGAAGTGGAGTCTGCGGGGGTCTGTCAGGGTCTGAGCCGTCAGGGTCTCGGTCGGTCCTGGCTCTGGTACCTGGGTCGTCCTCGTCCCGCGGGACCTTCTTGAAGCAGTCGTTCAGGGACAGGTTGTGCCGGATGGAGTTCTGCCAGCCCGCCTTGCTCTTCTTGTAAAACGGGAAGTTTTCCGCCACGTACTGGTAGATCTGGCTCAGGGTCAGCTTCCGGTCCTGCGCGCTCTGGATGGCCATGGCGATGAGCGCAGAGTAGGAGTAGGGCGGCCGGACCAGCTTCAGCAGCTCCTCCTGGGTGCTGATGGAGAACCAGCCCAGGTCCGGCGCGCCGAACCCGGCCGAGCCGCCGAGGAACGGCCGCTGGGGGCCGTAGGAGGGCGGGATGWAGGGCGCCGGGTTGTAGGGGGCGGAGGGCCCGACCCCCGGCCCGTTCAGCCACAGGTACGGGTTCGGGGAGGACGCGTAGTCCTGCAGGCCGTACCCGGGTCTCTGCGCGCCCTGCTGGTGCTGGTGGTACCCGTCGCAGTACGCGGCCGCGGCCATCAGGTCCGGGGACTCCTGGCGCGCGCCTTTGGGGGGGAGGGAGCCGACGGTGGGGGAGGTGTGGTGCTGCAGGTGGGTCTGAGGGTCTGACGGGTTCATCACTCCCCGCGGGAAGCCCGGTGGACCTGCTGAAGGTTCGGCTGGACCTCTGCAGGTGATGCGCAACAAGTGTCAGAGAGGATGGAGAGTCCCGGGTTTAAAGGTATAAAAGCTCCTCCCGGCAGCCAATCAGCGCGCAGGGGGCGTGGCCTGGACTCATTCACAAAGGTCGGGGGTTCCATTCATGGACCGGTTCTGAAACTTTTCAGAAACTTCATGACTGAAAAAAATATTCTGCTTGAGGAAGAAACTCAGCCTGAAATAAAAACTTTATTGAAATTATTTTTCTGTCAGATTTCAGCTGAAAAACTGACAAATTAAACTTTAAACATTAATAACTTCACTTTCAGCTTTAATGTAGCTGCTGCCTCCGAGTTCTGACCCGGCCCATGTGCATCCATGCAGTGTTGAATAAAGTACCTCAAAGTCATACTTGAGTAAAAGTACAAGTATCTTATCATAAAAATACTTTGGTAAAAGTTAAAGTCTTCTCTAAAAATAAGACTTGAGTAAAAGTCTTAAAGTATCTGATATTTTTTGTACTTAAGTATCAAAAGTAAATTTCTGACACTAAATCTACTTAAAGTATCAAAAGTAAAAGTACTGAGTAAAAGTGAGCAGTTAGATTTT